TGGAGAGAGAGGCGTGTGAGATGCAACAAAGGTCCCAAGGCTGGAATTAAACTCAGCTACCAAGCCTGCTACTGCAGCGTTATGTCTTTATTTATTCATCGTATTGTATATTATTCCATCTTTAGTGTTGCAGGTATTTTGCCGATGCAGGCGGGCAGAAAGAAAAGATAAACTACTGTATTAATACCATACCTGCATTTTGCTCACGTTTCAATCTGGTGTTGACAGATTAAAATATTATTTACCTGCAATTATGAAACGGGTTGAGCATTAAAACCTTTTACTGAGGAACTGCATTAAAAGTCCAGTTTAAAATAAAGTAAGCAGAGTATAACTTAAAGGGATCGTTCAGGTCTTTTGAGGTGGGGTTGTATGTGGTACTTCATAGTCAGTGTATCGGCATCGCCCCAGTCTGGAGAAACAGGCAGGAGTACCAGCACGAGAGCTAAACAATGTACTGCTGTGGATGCAGCAGCAAAACGTAACTCGACACATAAAATAAATCAATATCAGTTTAAGTGTACACTATATTTTGAATATTTTCACCACCTTACCTTGCCGTCAGACAGCCCTTTCCAACAAGGTATAGCAAACCTGTTCTATTGCTCTGTTCAAAGCCACAGACTCCATTGACAAAGACAGACATTTTCACACGATAACTCAAACTCGTGTCCTTTGTGGTAAAAAAAACAAACAGCTTTTGTCAAAGGAGTCTTGTGGCTTTGAACAGAGCATAGATGGATATAACGGCTTCAGTTCCCACGTCAGAAAATGGGCTGTCTGACTTCAAGGTAAAGCAATGAAAATATTCTAAATATAGCGTACACTTAACTGATATAGATTTTTCTTTTTTAGGTGACTTAACTACACTTTAGTGCCGACCCCCTTTCTGTACTCCAGCATCAAGTTCTTTTATTTCTATATTAGAAATTATTTTTATAAAGACGTGGACTAATATTAGTTTTTACATACTTCATGTTTGGACTATATGGAGCACTATATACAGCATGTGTTGCAGGGAACTAGTATAACACATGTTCCGATGACTTGATGGCACCGATCTTAACCCGTCTTCATTTTGTAAATAATCCATCATTCTGATTATTGCAGTCCCCTGTGTTTCCCTCCTTCTTCCGAGACGCCGCTCTACACCTCTTTGCTTTGCCTAAGCTGGATCAGCACGGCGACCAGATCGCATCCAGACTGCGGAGAGTTCCCATCACGGTGTGAGCCTGACAACGTCTATATCTGCTTATAGGGGAGCTGACAGCAAACATGAGCAATCCAGACCTGCCACTTACGATGATGTGCTCTGCTGTGACTGGATGAAAAAGTTGCTTTGTGATGACAAGTGGAACAACAGCCACTGATGATGTGCAACATTTTAAAAAGAGGGAAAACAGAAGTTCAAGGAACCGCAGCGCTCTGAGAGTCTGAGAGTCAGAGAGGGAAGATTTCACGCTGTTGGCATTTCCTCTGTCAATAATTACTCCTTTCCGTTTCTTAATGCATTTAAAAGAAATGAATCAATATTTCATAAACCACTTCCTAGTTCAAGCCAGGATCAATAATTGTAGATCAAAACTGAGATACACGAAGACTTTTGCTGTAAGTGAGCTACAAAAACACTTACAGGCAGTAATTGTCTTTGACAGCCTCAGAAAATACCCGCTTAAAAATCGCATGAATACATCCAAGCAATCACATTACGCTCCGATGTAAGCTGCATCGAATCTGCAGGTAGAGCTAATATCTGTCCTTTCAAAGCAGCTTTATTCCCTCAAGATAATCATCTTCAGTTCTGAACGGGCATGGAAAAGAGAGAGAGCGAGAGAAATTATTAAACCAAAAGGAGAGAAAAAGAAAGAGAGCGCAACAACCTTTTTTTTTTTTTTTACTTTTTGTGCCATCAAACAAACTTCGCATTTGTGTGGGTAGCTGAATCTGTAGCTAGCAAGGCAGGCAGCTTGACTTCCCACTGTGATCCTGACTCAAAATGCTCAGAGAGAGAGAGAGAGAGAGAGGCAGGGAGAGAGGCAGGGAGAGAGGCAGGGAGAGAGGCAGGGAGGTTAGGCGATTTATAGAGAAAGAGTGGAAAAAGAGACAGAGGAAGGCAAAGAGGACAGGAGGAGAATGGGAGACCAATTACGCGAGAGAGTTTAAGAAACAGGGGGAGAGATAGTTATTTCCTCTGGGTCTTTGAGAGAGAGAGAGAGAGAGAGAGAGAGAGAGAGAGAGAGAGAGAGAGAGGAGAGAGTGTGTCTGCGTCCGGTCGGCCGTTCAACTGATTAATTTGTGACAGGAGGGATTTCTGTGCCACGTGCTTTGAATTTCTGCTCTAATTTATATGGTAATCTTCTTTAAGACTCTGGCAGCGTACCAAAAACAATCTTTTATTTCCATCTCTGCTAAGCCTAAACCCTTTTTATATACTCACTATAGTCATATAAACATACAGTATATGTGTGGCGCATGTGTTGGTATATCTCGATTTCACTTCCCTGGTGAGGGTTCCCTGCATGCGCTCGCTTTGGGTGCGCGTCAGTATTCATGGATGTCTCTCATTACCACGAATGATGCTTAAAATGTTTGTTCCTCACCAGAAATCTCATGTGACCCCGATGAGAAGTACTGCTGTAAATAATTAGGAGAGTGGATGAAGGCTCAAGGGCCTTTGTGGGACACGGGGACAGTTTGCAAAGACGGTACATAAATATGATTGTAAGAGCAGAGTTGGACACTCGGTAGGCTGAGCCTGCCTTCACATCATGTGGGATGGAAGGTAACGATAAGGACGGATTCACATGTTTACATCTCGCGAGTGTATATTTCCAATTCCTCGATCGATGGACTTTGGCTCCCAATACACGTCTAAATTTGTTCGCTTTTTCAGGAAATGCCGTGTTCTAAAATTGAAGTTACAACTTGGATGTCGGAAACCAACCCTATTGCCGGACAAGAGCGGCAAAAAAACAACAACAAAAACACAGTATGAGATAAATTACGTTTTCTATTTTCGTTTTCGATGCTAGCGTTTTTATAAACCTCGGACTCCAAAGTATCTGCGCATTGCAACACTGCCATGCCAGGGAAAGATTGTGGTTATGGCACGTAAACGTTGGTCATAGTATGATAGACGACCAAAAGACTTGGTAAAGGTAAGGAAAAGACCATGGTTTCGATTAATATACCTACAAATGTTAATCGTGAAAGCGAAAACTCTGGTCTTGTTAAATAATGCATTCTCAGTAGAGGGTTAGTACTCCGCTTTCACGTCAACGGATCCATCAATGAACTCCATCTGTTGTTGAAGATCTTTTCTCTTTCCACAGTTTGAACGTTAAAAATAGATTTTTAACTACCGGTCGTCTGCACCAACTGGCCCACAATGTAACACACTTGGTCCAAGTTGGTCGGATCAATCCTGGTGCCAAATCCTTAATTGGCCCAACAATCATGATGTCCTTCTACTGATCACAGTCTAATACATAAGGGCTCTAGCCTTCACTTCTTCCTAATATCAGCCTAAAACACACTGTTTACAATGTTTAAACATTAAACAGTCCTAGAAAGCAGAAACAACTCAAATCCTGCTTTCTGACAAGCCTTGAAATACTGTGCTTCTGACAGGCCCTACAGCAGAGATGTTTTCATGAGTGTGGGCGATGCTAAGAGAAATCCATTTTTTCTCATTTGACTCCAGGATTGGAATGAACCCCCCCGAGGATCCTTGATGTAGATCAGTTTGAAATTGGAGTAGTATTCCTCTTTTAGCCCTGTCGTCTCTCCATCCCCCTGCAGAGGAGAAAGTCCTTTTGGACGTCCGTGTGAATGCCAAAGGGATTGTGAAGACACATAAAGTAAAAAGTGTAAAAAAACAAACAAACACTGGTAGAGGCACTGCTGGTGATCCTTTTGATGGCGAGAGGCCTTGTGGGTTTAGAAACTCAAAATAGTCAATCCTGACTACACTTTTTACAACGTGGATGATATTTGTGTTTACTGAGGGAGAATACAAACCTGCTGTTGATAGTGCAGTGCAGCCCTTTCCACAGAATCTTATTTTGACAAGTCAACAGTACTTGATGAGTGCTGGGAAGCAGGCAGGTGGCAAACAATTCTCTCCTGTGTGTGTGTGTGTGTGTCTATATTTGTGCTCACGTGTAGTACAGAGTACAGTGTGTTTTATGTGTCGTATAGTCGGATACTCAGTGAATGTTTCTCCTTCTCCACATCCTCGCAGTGTGTGTGGTTGTACATGAGAGGCACATTATATATAATAATGTGTCTGCATGTATGTGCCCGAATATAAATGCAAGTTGATTATATTCGTGGATTACTTTACTCAAAATAATTGATTTCAAACACGAAGCTGCAAATATTGTAATATAACATGAACTTTTCTTCTTTTCTGGTTTTATTCGTTCACACTTCTAACAGTATGCTTTGACATTAATCATTCTTCTTAAAGTAATGCATTATTTAAAGATTATTATGTACTACAACTATGGGGGAAATCTATTGCATAAAGAAAAAGTCAGTGAGAGACGAGCAATTATGAAGCAAATATAATGCTTTATAATGTGTTATGATTATTGTCATAAAGCATGATGAATATTTATCAGTACTTTAACTATAATTATACAGTGCACACAAGCAGATTATAATGCATTATATGTTTGTTTTCAATGCATTATAGACATTTGGCCTCATTGACAATGTTACCACGGCTTCAATCAATTTTAAATATTTGAAAATAGTAAAGATTCAAACTGTAGACCATAGTCTCAACACAGCCCTGGTTATATGGGAGTGTATGGAGTTATTTCCCTTCATAGATTTTGCATTTTTCATTCACTCGTTATAAAAGACATTTTTGCCAACAGGCTGAGCTGTAAGCTGCCATTTTAGAACGAGAAGTAATAGGAAGAAACTTCTGCACCTGAAAATGTGACCTCTAGGTCGAGCTTTTAGCATGACCAGCTGCATGGTAGTTTTACCTGTGAGCAGCTCCCGGATCTCCACGTCTGTGGTCTTCCGGAGCAGTCGCACCAGAGCCGGGATGCCGCCGCAGTTCTTCAGGGCGATCTTGTTGTCGTCGTTGGCTTTGCCGTACACCAGGTTCCTCAGGGCTCCGCAGGCGCTGCGGTGCACGTCGTTCATCCGGTGGTCCAGCAAGTCCACCAGCAGCTGGATGCCACCCTGCCGCCGGATCTGACAGACAGAGGAGGGAGGATGTAGTTAAGGGGACCGCCACGGGAAACACAAATTCTGTGCGTTTGGACCAATTTCCTGCCAACAAAATAATCAATATAAGTATCTAAACAATATCAGGGCTTGTTCATGTCAACTATAGAATATTATTTCCCACTTCTGATGCTGTGTTTGGAGAAACTGCTATCATGTAAACCTTATTTTTTCACTTTTTCAATAGGGTGACAGGCACTGTGGCACTGATGCAAGATACATTCAAATAACAGCCACTCTTCCATCTGTCCCATGCTAAGTGTCTGCAGCCCTCGCCGCTTTCCTCTGTCTAGACAAAGAGAAAATGTAGGGCAGACTCTGCCTGCTTTCTGTAAAAACAAGGGACACGTTAGTGAAGAAAGGCAGTCGTGCTTGTACATTGTGTCTTTCGTGCTTCAGATAACGGTACGTCGGCATGAAGCCTGGAACAGCTGATTCACTTTGGAGGACAATATCAAACAAAAAAAAGGGATTACTCAGAATCTAGATGTTGGATCCTCAAGTAACAGACCCTGTAATGACTGGGTTTTGTCAAAGAAAAGAAACACTCTGCAATCCAACTATAAAGCAAGGAATCTCTCTCTGTATGTGTGTGTGTGTCTGTATGTGTTTTTAGCATAGACTGTATATAAGAAGTGGACGCAATCATTGTGACGTCACCCATTGGTTTGTGGACTGCCGTTATGAAGCCTCGAGTTCGGCAATTTGGCCTTCGCCATCTTGACTTATTGCAACCAGTGAGACCTGCCAATCACAGTGAGCCCGCCCTAAAGCATACTCCGCTTTATGGTCCATTTGACTCTAAATGGACCATAATTTACTAAATGAACATCATGCTGTATTGAAGAAGACTTGAAACTAGTGATTGAGACCATAAACTCATGTTTACAATGTTTACTGAGTGAGAAGTCATTTTCTCATAGATTCCATGCAATCGCACTTCTTTTTGCAACCAGAGGAGTCGCCCCCTGATGGCCATTTGAGAGAATGTAAGTTTTAAGACACTTCCGCATTGTCTTCACTCGGCAGAACCAAAGTTTGCCACCTGGTTTTTAGCATATCTCGATAAACTTGACACTTGGCCGTGTATTGCTGGGGACCCAAGGATATGCAGTGTCGAAGTCGGTGCAATTTGGACATGCTACGAGTTAAATATGAATACATTTTGATTGAACAAGCAATAGCGCTCTTTGTAGCAGCGGTGGCGGGGCTTCATGGCTCTGCGAACTGAGTCGAGCATGTGGGCAAACTATGGCTTGTTGACTGCAGTTCCCTTTTTTGTTGCTGGATGCTAACATCTTCTTCATTTCCCTCGAGTCATTGAGCGATGAGTTGTTAAAAAACAGAAACTTATTAAAACTATTAATTGCAAAATGATTGTCCTTAGTGACACAGAAGCAGGGACATAACAACTAACAGAACAGGTCGAGCACACAGTAGCACATCTGTACGGTGCATCCGGTGCTAGGAGACTGAACAGCCATATACACGTCCCTCAGCACCCCGTCTATTATTTCACCATTTGGGCATCTCTCTCAAGGGCGAAAAACAATCTGGCCTGTGGGTTGTGAGTTTGGCAGCCACCGCTCTAAATACTACACGCCATTCTTCAACACAATTTCAACATCAGTCATCCTTCTCATCTGTCTCTCTCTATCTCCAATGCCTGTTGGCTGATTGCTATTTGAAGAACTTTGTTTGCCCTCAAATCCATCGTCTCCATGGGGATTAATGAAGTGGAATTGAGCTGAATTGAGTTGACATTGAAGAGACGGACGGAACAGAGACAGTGAGTGACGGCGGCTCTAGAGGACGGAGGGATAGACTGCAGGAACGAGGCTGTGCTCGGAGTTGGGTGTGCGTAATGAGGAGGTAATGCCGTCTAATGTGGACCTTGGTGGAGCAGCTGCACGCGTGGGACAGAGTTTCCTTTCAATAAAGACATGACCAATTTTTCACTACTTAGGCTTAAGCACGTTGAAAAATGGCTGTATTTACAACCTGCCTCGTAAGTGTCTGGTCATTGACAATGTGTCAAGCTATTCATGTGTTGCTTGGCCTACATGAACGAAGATGTTTGAGAGTGTTAGGCCTTCTTGGTCTCTCAGGTTCTGTAAAGTGAAGCCAATGTGGAAGTGCCTTAAACTTGCATTCTCTCTAATGGCCATCAGGGGGCGACTCCTCTGGTTTCAAAAAGAAGTCTGATGTCATATGAGAAAATGACTCTACTTCTCACTTGATGTATTACCTCAGTAAACATGAGTTTATGGTCTCAATCATTTCAAGTCTTCAATACAGCATGGTGTTCTTTTAGTAATTTATGAGTATGCTTTGGGGCGTGGCTACCTTTTGATTGACAGGTAGTTACTACGGAGTTGTCCGGTCTGGGAGTTGTCTTTGTTTTTGTCTTACAACTTTAACCCTCTCACAGTATCTTTTCGGTTCATGAAAGATAATTGTAACAATTTGCTCGCCTTAAAATGTCTTATTCAGTGTTCGTTGTACTTAACTCCACCCTCTCGTGTGACTTCTGGCTGCAAAAAAACAAGATGTCTATGGCCAAAAACCAAGATGGCGACAGCAAAACTGCCGAACTTGAGGCATCAAAACAATAGTCCTTAATCCAGTGGGTAAAATCACGGTGACTGCTTCCACTTCTTGTATATGGTCTCTCCCTCTGACAAATGCTGAATTGGTGAAACAAAGTTTTTGTCAATGTGTATATTTCTAGCATTTCTGTTATATAAAATATCTGCTGTACATCGCTGGATTTCTATTGCATGCAGACCCAGCAGCAGAAAGCACTGTGGAATTGTTGCATTATTCCTCCATTGGTCTGTTGCATGACCATCAAAAATACTTTAAGGCGAGCACACCCACTCACTCTTAGTTGAGCACCCTTGTCCCCCTGCGTTCTTGCCTGTGGTACTCCAAGCACTGAAAAATCCACTTGAAAAACTCAACAGCAGCCAGAAACAATGTTCAGCTGAACTTTTCAAAACTCCGGCAGAAAAATCAAACACTGGAGCATCTGCATTCCCATCTGCGCCCTACAGGAAATAGCTGGAAAGTATGTGTTTTGATTTTTTACTGGAAGTCACCAACTCAGAATAAGAGCCGAACCTATGCATGCGGTGAATTAGGGCCAAGCAGAGTTTGGGAATTCAATCCTCTGTCTGTGAGTGCCTCTTTCTTGGTGCGTGACTGTAAAGTAATGTAAAATGTAATGGTGTGGTTTCTCCTCAAAGATCAATACCTCAGATTTAATCTTGTTGTCTCCAAAGCAGAGGTGCTGGAGGTAGGCCGCGGCGTTGGACTGGACCGATGGGAACTGATGCTGCAACATCTGGATCACCTCCGGCAGCTCTGGATCCCTCCAGCCGAACTCCCTACGGAGACACACAGAGAAAAAATGCAGTGTGTTGTGATGTGTGCAGTGGTAGATTTGTGTGTATGTGAGCGCGTGTGTGTGTAGCTGAACTCGTTACTAGGCCAGCTCGTCTCCCTGCTGTCGCCATGATTTAAAATGCTCACCAGGGAAAAAGAAAGAGACAGAAACCAAGGTTTGAGATAAATCAAAAATAGAACAAAAAAGCTAAGTTAGGCGCATGAAATACACAGATTTAAATGTATGTATTCACTGTCTGCCAGTAGGGTTAGGGTTTAATAGTTAGGATGCTACAAATACATTTGTATTGGTACATAAAACAAGGAAGAAAATAGTCTGCTTCAATGCCAATTAGTGTCATTTCTTGAAAAAAAAATGAAAACCTTTCCTCATAAGACAAGTATTTTTCCTATATGTACTTATACTGTATTGTGTACTTCAGTTTTGGGGCTGTTTTCCATGTTTTGAAAATGAAGGGCAATCTTAACGCAACAGCATGCATTGACGTTTTAGACAACAGTGTCTTTCCAACAGTGTGTGTTTGGCTCTTTCCTGTTTCAACAACACCCCAGTGTACAAAGCCCGCTGCATAGAGAAATGGTATTCCCAGTTCTTGTGTGGAGGTACTTGACTGTCCTGCTCAAAGTCCTGAGCTAAATGTCATCTAAAACCTTTGGGATGAACTGGAACGCCGACTGCGAGCCAGGCTCTGTCACTCTACCTCGACCTCACTAATGCTCTTACCGAGGTTGTGAAGTGTCATGAAAAGCCGTACCAGAAAGAAACGGAGAGCTGAAATGAAACTGAAACTTTAGGGTTTTTGTTCTAGAAGTAAACTTACTCCAATGACTACTTACACAGCCTTGCAACAGTCTTTCTCAACATTATGTTGTGATCATCGCTTTGTATGTTTGGATAAGAAGGAAAAAGAGATATAATGTCAATGTTTACTTCATATTTCTGTCCCGACCTCTCTGTTCGTAGTTTCTACTTTTAACCAACACCATTTCCCACAAGCCCCTATGCCTTTGCAGTGTAAATGTCACGACTCGACGAAAGAGGCGAGTCCATCAGGGAGTTGAGGGTTTTTATTTCATTTCGCACTGTATACTATTTAGGTGTTTTTAGATACTTCTAATTATTGATATATATTTTTTACCTTTCTCTATTTATCTGTACTTATTTCTGTCCTTGTGCTGCTGAAGCACCCACATTTATCTTAATTAACAATCAAGAAACTTGAGACAGAAATGTGCCCAGTCCACTTCTTCAATTTCTTTTGAGTTGCCAGAAGTTAAGCTGCCATTGGCAGCCATTTTGAAAAATCGGCAACCAATTCTCGTCCTTTGTTTGCCCTCAGGGGCAGGAACTGAGGGTGGACACGTCGACTGATGAGGAAGTCTGTAAAGTATCAGATAAATCGCAGACTACAAAGAATTTTGTTCAGTTACTGCAACAAAGCTTTTATTATTTCATGTTACATTACTAAGATGACGCATAAGAATCTTTAACTATACTCAAAATATAAGGCGACTAAAAATGGCAACCATAATTTCAGTTTCAGCAACTAAAAGCTGATGCCTGGTTACCGGCCTGCAACCAGTGACACATGGTTTATGCGCCTGATGGAGAACATTTAGGAGACGATTTGTATGCATCGTCATAGGAAGGTGTTCAACAACAGCAGCGTCTCGGGTGCACTGTAAGAGCATCCTCCTGCTGGGATGAAGCCTTTCTTCTAACTGCCTCAGCTGCTTTGGTTTTGTAGGCAGGGTCTAGCAGTGCTTTTGCCTAAAGGCATGCTCCAGGCACACACGCGCACACACACACACACACACACACACACACACACACACACACACACACAGACAGACACTAAGCTCGCTAACCCTACCCGTGTCTGTGAGGGACGAAACCCGGATGATTAACGTGTGAAAGATGCGATGTGAGAGAACTAAGTCACAGTGAGGGATCAGAAAGAGAGAAGGAGGGAGAAGAGGGAGGTGGAGCTTATCGATGTAGATTATCTGTCCCCAGCGGCAACGGGATATCACGTTTCCTTGACAGCGATGGTGTCTCGGGACCAACTGGAACTGAGGTTCAACATTTGACAGAAAGAAGGAGTTTGTACCTTCTGGATATTAATTTTGCTGTACATTTGTGTTTACTATGCTCTGCTACTTTTCACACATTCGGTTTCTACTTTTAAATCCACATTTTGATTAGATTTGTTTTCAGACATTTGTGAGAAGTTCTTTGGTCTGCGTGTAGAAGCCCTGCTGGCTCTGCTCTTGTGTGGAACCCATTTCTCTATGATGTATCGTAGTATTGATGGAGCAACAGCCCCGAGTCCCAGCGGAGATCATTTCAGTTCAGTCTAATCTAACATAAAAACATGCACGCACAAACAATCTCGGAATGGCACAGATAAAAACACACACACACACACACACACACACACACACACACACACACACACACGAGTGCCATAGGACAACTGTACAGTTTAGAGCACACAAACACACACACTCTGAGTACCGTAGGACAACTCAGTCTGCAGTTTAGAGCACACACACACACACACACACAAGCGCACAATTCAGCACACTTGTAGCAGTCAAAACATACGCACGTATGCACTTATTGACTTGCATTCACACCCAGCCATCAAAGGCAGTGCAGAGAAGCCAGGATTAGAAAGCTTTTGTCTCTGAGTTTCATAATGGGCCAATGGGAAAAAGCCAGCGTTTGAAAAAAATGGGGGAATTGAAGGGAGAAGGAAGAGCCAATTATTTCAAAGGTTCTTTTTTTTCTCTCTCTCTCTCTCTCTCTCTCTCTCTCTCTCTCTCTCTCTCTCTCTCTCTCTCTCTCTTTGAAATCTTCCCTCTCTTTAACAATTTTCTTCCTTTAAACTCTCTTGTCTCAGTGTCCCGCTTTGCTCCGGGGGGGAAAAAGATTCCTACACAAACACACAAGTGCACAGCCGCAACATTAACATGCATGATGTTGTTACGCACGTACAGTGGCACGCGCTTCAATGAATGTGATCGGAGATGACATAACCTTGTTGTTGTTGTGGGTTAATTGGCCGATAAGACATCCAACGTCACGGCAGAGCGAGCTGTCAAATGTGTGTTTTTCGTCTTCTTTTTTTTACATTGTAATTAGAAAGAGGGACACCAGCAGACATGAAGCTTCTTTGATAACTAGTAAACCAGATGGCTTCACTTATCAGACAGATTCAACTGGCTATGTAATCATTTGGTGAATTGAAAGGGTAAACTGATAAACATGCTAATTGAGGTTGAGGGGTGAGAGTTCAACAAGAGATTTGACCTCTTTATTCATGTGTTTGTCCTTTCATAGGATGTACGGGGATTATATTCCAGGGGAAGATTTTATACTTTTTAGCTATATGTACTTTACAGATGGATATTTTGCATGAAAACATACAGCTTATGAATACAGTATGTTGATATACATTCAACTATCTAAATAAAAAAAATGTAAAATACACTGCCATTTTGCACAATGAGTACTTTTGATACTTTCAGTACATTTGGTTGTTTTTACTCAGTACTTTTACATTAGATTTAGCATCCAAGACAGTTACCTGTAATAGAGAATGTTTGCATTGTTTTTGTTTTGTATTGTTTTGTGTTGTTCAAGTAAATTACTTAAATACTGTTTGCACCGTTTGATTTCATACAGAAAAAAAATCTCACGATAAAAAGCCTAAAGCTAGTAGAAACGACATAAATAGTATAACCATCGGAAAATTAGAAAGTAGAGAGTCAGCGTTCCACTGAGGCCTTCATAAAAAAGAGGACGTGAAAGCAATAGTCTGTAGACCGCCTTGCCTCCGCCAACCATGTTGCAGTTTGCATCCAAAATGTTGGTCCAAAATTTCATCACTTCATCATTTTATTCTATTCGACATTTGCATGAAATCGTCAAAATAATTAGCATATGAATTATTGGTAATGGCCATGGTAATGGTAATGTGAAGTCACAGTGACCTTTGACCTCCAAAATCGAATCGGTTCAACCTTGAGTACTTCAATATTTCTCCATCCTTTTTCTTGAAAAGTGCGTTTACTGAAATGGTGAAATGAGCTTGCGAAAGAGCTTTTCAGGTCCATTGTTAAGCATAACAGCACAAGGTGCTGCTACCGGCACATCGGTGGCCGAGGAGGAGTAAACATTACTCGAAGGCCAAAGTGGCATATTTGGCAGCACTCTACCATAGAAATGCTCTCTCACTCTTTTCACTCATTCTCTCCCGTCTTCTACTACATTTTTCTCAAAGTGGGAGGTCAAAGTGGGGGCACACACATTTAACAACAGACACAGATACACACAAGTTGTACTTTCTACTTATGATAGAATGGACAGTTAAAGGGATAGTCCAGATTTCTTTATGTGGGGTTGTGCTAGGTACCTATCTATAGTCATATTCCCCAAGTTTGGAGGAAACAGGGAACAAAGTAATGAACTGCTGTGCGGAGACAGCAGCAAAACATTTTTTAGTCAACTAAAAGAAAAGCCCACTTGAAAAAATGTATATTACTTTAAGTGTATGCTGTAATTAGAATATTTTCACCACTTTACCTTGCAGTCAGACAGCCCTTTCTGACGGGGGACAGAAGCCGCTATTTGACCTCGCAGAACACAGGAGTTGCTGCTCTACAGCGGCCTCGATCGGTTCGTTTTTTTGTGTTATTTTTCTGTTTTCTGTTTTAAAGGGTTAGCTCGATTTCACCAAAGTCGCACAGCTAGGGTCGGTAATGTCTCTTTAGAAACCTTTCTTTGTTGTATTTGTCTCTTTACATCCCGACAGCGACAAATAAATGAAATGATCTGATATCAGTGGCTGTCACAGGACTTTAATCAGCCTGTTGGGCCGAAGTTAATCATGAAATAATTGGACGGGCTACTCTGCCCCTGCACTCAATCAAGCTGCTAGATTGACAGTTGTGAGTGCTAACAGTGCTAACGGGC